AGAATATATAGTGAAAAAATATTGGTCCTAAAATGGACCCTTGAGGAACACCAAAACTTACAATTGATATGTCAGAGGACAAACCATCCACAAAGACAAACTGAAATCTTTCCGACAGATAAGATCTAAACCAGGAAATAACTTGTACGTGTAGACCAATTAGGGTTTCCAATCTCTCCAACATTTTGAGAGGAATGGGAAATTTGACATAGGCCGATTGTTTTTTTATTTTGGGGGGGGTCAAGGTTTGGCTTTTTCAGGATTTATTAGAGCCACTTTTAGTGTGTTTGGTACACATCCGGAGGAGATTGTCGAGTCACGTCGACAATCTACTGGAAAATCCTTTTCAAACCTTGTAATATGAAGATTATTATAGATTAAAAGATGTATCGGTGCTCATCGGCCATTGGACATAAACATTACACAACAAGTTGGAAATCGCAAATTCAACAATGAGTGGTTTGGAAGGAATCAGTGGCTAACTGCAAGCGTTGCAAAGCAATCACTAGCCTGCTATTCAGTGGACAGGGTGTGTGGTCCAAATCTGGGTTTAAGGGTCTCTTTTCCAAGCTTAAAAGGATAAACATTCACATGCAACACCATGGGCCATAAAAGGTTGAATGCATTGGCCATGCTGTCAATCTATGAATGAACTGTTTCGCTGCCAGACAAGGCTCCACTGATTGCCAGGTGTAGCGGTGGTAAGGATTCACTCCATGGTGCTGAAAAGACAGCTTCATGTAGGCCCTAACAGTTTGTGGGCACTGTTTGTCACCGTTATAGTGCAATTAATGTATTGTCTAGCATTGTGTTGTGTAGTGGCTTTGCTGGCATGCATCCAAAAAAAAGTTGAGTTTTCCCCACCAAGATTTACATGCTAAAATCGCCACTGTGTTCAACATAGGAGCAACAAGCACAGGAAGTAGCTCTTTCAGTAGTTTAGGTGGAATAGGGTCCAGTAGGCAGTTGGACCCTATTCCACAGAGCTGTAATCAAACCTGTAAAAAGGTTGTGAGACACATTTGATAACTGAGATTTGCTCTCTGTAATTTCCGTAACTCCTCCTTGAACTGTATGACATAGATGGGGAGAGATTTTGTGAAAGGGTTAGAAAGGCTGGACGGGGTTGGGGTTTGGGTTTGGGTGGTGTAGTGTAGTGGGGGGGGGAAAACGGGAGGGAAGTGGTGTCTAGGGCTCTATTTCACTTTCTGAGAGGAACAGGACTAATGAAGATAATTGAATGTAGGTAGGCCGTGACTGGCCTCATATACCAGTACAGTAGGTGGCGGTGTATGCGCCTTAAACTTTGGATGCGATCTGCCAACCCAATATCAAATAAGAAGAAGAACTCTTCTTTGCCCACCCTTTCCGTTGAGGTTGTCGGGGTAACTAGAAGGGACGCTTTTTCACACGGCAGCAGAGCAAAACCACAAAACTGGACTTTTGCCATTTATGTTGTTACGACCATTTTTTTTTTGACTGCACATAGCTAGAAGAAAGCTTTTCAGGTAACTTCTCCATTCTCAGCATTTGGAACTATAAATCCCTCGTAAATTGTAGCAAACCGTTTTAATGCTAACGGGTGCTAACCATGGCATGTAATTTTTTGCAACAGGCCCCAATGGATTAACGTTATTTTACGGTAACTAGCTAATGCTAGCTAGCTGGTAGCCAATGTTGAGTTAGCATGGCGAAGTTACCAAGTTAGCTAGCTTGTCTTTTGCTATAAGCTTTGTCCAATAAATATCCACGTAACATTCACAATTAACTAGGGGACCCAGTTGTTGAATTAGCAGCTAGCTAAGTTGGCTAACGCTAGCTACCCAAATGTCAAGGTGATCATTCCAGCAGTTTCTAGCTAGTGAACGTTAGCTACCTAATTTGCTTGACAGCAGCAGTAGCTAATCTGTTGCTTGTTTATCTGATCAAGTCACTTGATGCAACACATAACTTACACTGTAAAATATAATGTTTCTTGGGTCCCCTCTCCTCATCATCATCCATTCCTCCTCCTAATGTACCTCTTCCTCCTCTTCTTCTGCCTCCTCTACAGATCAGGAGGCACCGGGGACATGGCGGTGTACTTTGATCACCATATCGAGGCCCCTGAATCTAGCGGGGCCCCCTCTCAGGTGGCATGGCATCCCACTCAGCCTGTACTAGCAGTGGCCTCCAACAGCCCCACCACCGGGGGCAACATCGACCTCTACCTCCAACAGGTGAGCCCCTCACTACAGATAGTCAGAGTTGCACCCATCCTGTCCTCAATCTGCAATTGATCAAATTACGCTGTAGTATGAAAAATGTATACACTCACTAACTGTAAGTCGCTCTGGATAAGAGCGTCTGCTAAATGACTAAAATGTCTAAAATGTAGACTGACTGAATTGCCACAACAGACATCAGTCTATAGCTTCATGTTCATCAATTGCAGAGGGGAAATATAAACCCACTGCACTTTACCTTTTGAAAACTGTTTAACCCCAATAAACACTTGAAGAGTGGAAGGTCCTTGTCCTCCGTTGATGTTGGGTCATGGGCCTTTTCACTGCTTTGATGTAGACAAGTATGGAACTGCTACTAATACATTGATTGAACTGCTCTCCTGTCATCATGTAGGGGGAGCACGTAGGGAGCTGCCACGTGGACCGTCCCTTCCAGCCCACGGTGCTGCGTTGGCACCCCACTAAACCTCTGCTGGCTCTGGGCTGGGAGACAGGCGAGGTGCTGCTGCTCACACACCCCTCTGGGGAGCAGACGCCGCTGCCCGCCACACACACCGCCTGCATCACCCTGCTGGAGTGGAGCAGCTCCGGCAGCCGCCTGGTCACTGGGGATCAGGTGAGTGCGTGTGAACACACAGACAAGCAGACAGACACACACACACAAACCACACACACACACACAGACTACTAAAGCATTTGATACACACGCTAGAATATCCAAAGTAGTGGAGATATTTTCATAGTCTCCTCAGTCTTTGGGTGATTCCGTGTAAAAGTAAACCTGAGTATGCACAAATATAGTTAGTCATTTCCAAAGAAACCACGTTCATAATTATCCCTAAGGTCTATATGTTGAAGTGCAGGCTTTATTTGACAAGTTTAAGGAAATTGCTTGTTTTTACACTAACAGCTATTATAGTTACACAGATTAGATGTTAATGAAGCAATACAGACCAAATTTAAGTGTCTTGAGTTTAGTTTGCGTGTTCTATAGTCTTGTAAAGATTGGAGGGTGACTGCGACAGGCAATGTAACATCCATAATGTTTTTAGGAAAAGTGTTTGTAAAACATGCACCTTACTTTGGATCATCTTAAAACTTTCTCTGTAATGCTAACTTTCATCAAGGTTTTATATGGTCTATAATTGGTTTCTCTCTTTTCATTGTCAGTATCCTTTTTCAGCATTATGATATCTGTAACATCCATAACGGTTGTGGATGTGATGGATATTGATGTATTTTTTTTAGCTTTAGAAGCTTGTGCATTCACCACATTTGTGTGCTTGTTCTGGAATGTATTCTTCAGACTTTCCCTAAAGCAATTGTTGCATTTTTTAGAATGATGTGTTCTAGCTACGATTCTTTTGGAAAATACAGTCGTGGTCAAAAGTTTTGAGAATGACACAAATACTGATCTTCACAAAGTCTGCTGCCTCAGTTTTGATGATGGCAATTTGCATATACTCCAGAATGTCATGAAGAGTGATCAGATGAATTGCAATTAATTGCAAAGTCCCTCTTTGCCATGAAAATAAACGTAATCCCCAAAAAACATTTCCACTGCATTTCAGCCCTTTCAGGGTCAACACTGCAAAAATTGACTCTTTGCATAAACTTAATGTAATTGTCAATAAAAGCCTTTGACACTTATGGAATGCTTGTAATTATACTTCAGTATACCATAGTAATATCTGACAAAAATATCTCATAACACTGAAGCAGCAAACTTTGTGAAGACCAATACTTGTGTCATTCTCAAACGTTTGACCACGACTGTATATGCTGAAATGCATTTCTCATACATGGTAGTACTGTTTTTTAGATAGAAAGATGAGAAGAGTTTAGTCCTGGAGTGTCTTTTTCAATTGAAAGCCCATCTATTGGTACTATAGGCACATGTAATATTGTCTCATTTGCATATTTAGTTACAATATTTCAGGAACAATTTTTATACAGAAAAATCGGTGTCTAATTCAAATGGCACAGGTTAATTTTGATATATAAAGATATAAACATACTTATTAGGGTGTGGTGCCTGCCCTTGGTATAGTATCAGGCTACCTGTACTTATGCAGAAGAATAGTAATGTTTTATATCTTTATATATCAAAATTAACCTGTTGCATTTGAATTTAGACACCCGATTTTTCTGTATAAAATTGTTCCTGAAATATTGTAACTAAATATGCCAAATGAGACAATATACATGTGCCTATAGTACCAATAGATGGGCTTTCAATAAGGCTTCTTCTGACATTTAAAAAAACCTTCCAAATGGACAACAAATGTATTATGATAGATTTTAACATCTATTTCAGACACTAAATCCATAACGGAGGGTATCACATCCATATAGTTTTTCCTCTAAAGTAAAAAAGGAAATGACAGTCTTTCAAAAATTATTGTTTTTTTTTGTGTTTCAGCCAAGTGTTTCCTTCGAAATGGCCAATCCATGTTTTGACTTAAGACTTATGCTTGTCCATTTTCATGTAAACATCCATAACGCTTCTTATTTGTTTTATTTCTCCAACGTCATATTTACAAGTCTGCTTTTGGGGGGTATACACTCCCCCCCCCCCCCTCCCCCCCCGAAGGGGTACTATAGACCACACAATCAAAAGTTTTCATTTACATTTTGTTTGTCCATTCTGTGAGACATTTTAAAGTTTGTGATTCTTCTTGCAAATGTAATGTCCATAACGCTGGAATCGGCCATTGGGCATTGTGTGTGAATGTACTGTCGTGCTCCGTGTAGATTGGAGTTCTGGCTGGCGTTATGGAAGGTGGACGCCCCGAGGAAGACTACAGGGGAAATCACATAGTGAAGCATGACTACACCAAGCCCTTAACCTACTGTATCTTCAGACCAGCACCCCCGGGAGAGTGAGTTACTAGAACCCCCAAAAGGTTCTGAGTCAGAGCAGGCTATTGTTCTGCATAAGCTCTTGACAAAGAGATGCCTCAATTGATATACTGGCAGGGGTCCCCAATTACATTAACCTGCGGGCAGATTTTTTCTTGAGTGGATGGACGGGGGACCGGAACATAGTTATAAATAATTTATAACACTGCAATTGACAACAAGAAGCCCCAAAACAGATATAGTATTTGACAAAAACAGAATAATTTCAAACCTTGAGTACATTGGGATACAATCACATATGCCTCTATATTTATGCGTGCGAATAGATTTCCTAAATGAAAATCACTTGAGCTTAGTTCCTGGTGATTTAACAGTCCTTTATGTTCCACAATGAAAATTATATATAAAGTTTTTATTTTATTGATCAGAAAACTTGGATGGCCAAATAAAATCAGCATTTGGCCCGCTGGCCCGGCCCTAATTGGGGATCCCTGATATACTGTATGTGGATAAATATTTTAGAGTCCCAGGTTTTATGCAACTATTCAATGGTTATTTTAGCTAGGACCAACAATTGTATCATATTATCACTGTTGTGAAGTTTCTTGGTTGTAATCAATGGCAACTGACACTGTCTCGCCCTGCTATTAAGCATATAAATGCCAAGTGTAAGTTAAGCCAGGCACGTCTCCCAAATTGTTGGTCGGGGACCCAAACCCATTGGTGCGTTGCAGTGTTTTCTCTTGGGTCTTGCTCAAGACTGGGTCCTGGCTAGAAAAAATAGTTTTGCTCATTCACTGGGTCAGAAAGAGTAACATTTGAAAGACCTTAGCTGTGCTATTTTGCCAACTCCTATGGCCATTGTCAAATCGCATCAAATTTTATTGCCACATGCGCCGAATACAACCGGTGTAGACCTTACAGTGAAATGCATACTTACAAGCCCTAACCAACAATGCAGTTTTAAGAAAAAAAGTGTTAAGTAAAAAATAGATAAGTAAAAATATTAAAGAGCAGCAGTAAAATAAAATAACAATAGGGATGCTATATAGAGGGGGTACCGGTACAGAGTCATGTGCGGGGGCACGTTTTGTCATTGTTTGGCGTAACAATGACCATAGGTTGGGAAGACCGCCAAAACAATCTGGATCAGGGTAGGGGGGCAATGGCCACATATATTTTTGGGAAAACCCTTCTTCTAAGCTTTCCCGTTTCCAGGTATAAGACTAACTGTGGTTGGTTCCAAGGGAGGGGGCGAGCTGGCGGGGCGCAGTGGGGGGAACGAAGTGCCTGGGCATGTCAACTGGAGGAAGGCTGGGAATGGGCCCGCTCAAGATGGGCCTCAGGGGGGTGGTGTTCTACGCGAAGGCAGACGGTTGACGCTCTCAACTCTGTTTTTTTACCCTGCGTTTTCCCCATGTGTGTGTGTGTTGTGTTTGAATTTTGGGGGGTGTGAGACCTCTCGCCCCTGGGCTTTAGAGAAATTCCTCCAAACCCCCCCTCAAAGGGTTAGGTTTTAGCTTTGGGGTGCTGCCCGGGTAAAAAGTGAAATCTAAACATACTGTCACTGGCGAGCATAGGTGTGTGTGTTTGAGTGGTGTATTGACCGGTCCGGCAAGGGGCACTGTTTGGATGGAAAAGGGCCCTTGGGGGCCCCCCCAAAAAAAAAAAAAAGTTGGGCCCCAAATTTCTTCCCTTTGGGACCGGGGGGGCCCCGCCCATTCCCAAAAAACGGGGCTTTTTTTTTTTTTTAATCTTTGGGGGGGGAAAAAAGAAAAAGGAAGGGAAATTCGGGGGGCCCGGGGGCGCCAAAATTTAAAACCCCGGCCTCCAAAAGTTGATTCAGTGGGGGGATCGGGGCACCCCTGCGGGAGTTTGCTCAGGAAGGGCACAGACAGGTGTGATGCATCTGCACGCACAGTGAGGCGAATACTTTTGGAGGATGGCCTGGTGTCAAGAAGGGCAGCAAAGAAGCCACTTCTCTCCAGGAAAAACATCAGGGACAGACTGATATTCTGAAAAAGGTACAGGGATTTTTTTATTTATTTTTTATTTCACCTTTATTTAACCAGGTAAGCCAGTTGAGAACAAGTTCTCATTTACAACTGCGACCTGGCCAAGATAAAGCAAAGCAGTGCGATAAAAACAACAACACAGAGTTACATATGGGGTAAAACAAAACAAAGTCAAAAATACAACAGAAATGGACTGCTGAGGACTGGGGAAAGTCATTTTCTCTGCTGAATCCCCTTTCCGATTGTTTGGGGCATCCGGAAAACACCTTGTCCGGAGAAGACAAGGTGAGCGCTACCATCAGTCCTGTGTCATGCCAACAGTAAAGCATCCTGAGACCATTCATGTGTGGGGTTGCTTCTCAGCCAAGGGAGTGGGCTCACTCACAATTTTGCCTAAGAACACAGCCATGAATAAAGAATGGTAGCAACACATCCTCCGAGAGCAACTTCTCCCAACCATCCAAGAACAGTTTGGTGACGACCAATGCCTTTTCCAGCATGATGGAGCGCCTTGCCATAAGGCAAAAGTGATAACTAAGTGGCTCGGGGAACAAAACATCGACATTTTGGGTCCATGGCCAGGAAACTCCCCAGACCTTAATCCCATTGAGAACTTGTGGTTGATCCGCAAGAGGTGGGTGGACAAACAAAAACCCACAAATTCTGACAAACTCCAAGCATTGATTATGCAAGAATGGGCTGCCATCAGTCAGGATGTGGTCCAGAAGTTAATTGACAGCATGCCAGGGCGGATTGCAGAGGTCTTGAAAAAGAAGGGTCAACACTGCAAAAATTGACTCTTTGCATAAACTTAATGTAATTGTCAATAAAAGCCTTTGACACTTATGGAATGCTTGTCATTATACTTCAGTATACCATAGTAACATCTGACAAAAATACAGTGGGGAAAAAAAGTATTTAGTCAGCCACCAATTGTGCAAGTTCTCCCACTTAAAAATATGAGAGAGGCCTGTAATTTTCATCATAGGTACACGTCAACTATGACAGACAAAATGAGGAAAAAAAATCCAGAAAATCACATTGTAGGATTTTTAATGAATTTATTAGCAAATTATGGTGGAAAATAAGTATTTGGTCAATAACAAGTCTTCACAAGGTTTTCACACACTGTTGCTGGTATTTTGGCCCATTCCTCCATGCAGATCTCCTCTAGAGCAGTGATGTTTTGGGGCTGTCGCTGGGCAACACAGACTTTCAACTCCCTCCAAAGATTTTCTATGGGGTTGAGATCTGGAGACTGGCTAGGCCACTCCAGGACCTTGAAATGCTTCTTACGAAGCCACTCCTTCGTTGCCCGGGCGGTGTGTTTGGGATCATTGTCATGCTGAAAGACGCAGCCACGTTTCATCTTCAATGCCCTTGCTGATGGAAGGAGGTTTTCACTCAAAATCTCACGATACATGGCCCCATTCATTATTTCCTTTACACGGATCAGTCGTCCTGGTCCCTTTGCAGAAAAACAGCCCCAAAGCATGATGTTTCCACCCCCATGCTTCACAGTAGGTATGGTGTTCTTTGGATGCAACTCAGCATTCTTTGTCCTCCAAACACGACGAGTTGAGTTTTTACCAAAAAGTTATATTTTGTTTTCATCTGACCATATGACATTCTCCCAATCCTCTTCTGGATCATCCAAATGCACTCTAGCAAACTTCAGACGGGCCTGGACATGTACTGGCTTAAGCAGGGGGACACGTCTGGCACTGCAGGATTTGAGTCCCTGGCGGCGTAGTGTGTTACTGATAGTAGGCTTTGTTACTTTGGTCCCAGCTCTCTGCAGGTCATTCACTAGGTCCCCGTGTGGTTCTGGGATTTTTGCTCACCGTTCTTGTGATCATTTTGACCCCACGGGGTGAGATCTTGCGTGGAGCCCCAGATCGAGGGAGATTATCAGTGGTCTTGTATGTCTTCCATTTCCTAATAATTGCTCCCACAGTTGATTTCTTCAAACCAAGCTGCTTACCTATTACAGATTCAGTCTTCCCAGCCTGGTGCAGGTCTACAATTTTGTTTCTGGTGTCCTTTGACAGCTCTTTGGTCTTGGCCATAGTGGAGTTTGGAGTGTGACTGTTTGAGGTTGTGGACAGGTGTCTTTTATACTGATAACAAGTTCAAACAGGTGCCATTAATACAGCTAACGAGTGGAGGACAGAGGAGCCTCTTAAAGAAGAAGTTACAGGTCTGTGAGAGCCAGAAATCTTGCTTGTTTGTAGTTGACCAAATACTTATTTTCCACCATAATGTGATTTTCTGGATTTTTTCCCCTCATTTTGTCTGTCATAGTTGACGTGTACCTATGATGAAAATTACAGGCCTCTCTCATATTTTTAAGTGGGAGAACTTGCACAATTGGTGGCTGACTAAATACTTTTTTCCCCCACTGTATCTCATAACACTGAAGCAGCAAACTTTGTGAAGACCAATACTTGTCATTCTCAAAACTTTTGACCACGACTGTATATGCTGAAATGCATTTCTCATACATGGTAGTACTGTTTTTTAGATAGAAAGATGAGATGAGTTTAGTCCTGGAGTGTCTTTTTCAATTGAAAGCCCATCTATTGGTACTATAGGCACATGTATATTGTCTCATTTGCATATTTAGTTACAATATTTCAGGAACAATTTTATACAGAAAAATCGGTGTCTAAATTCAAATGGCACAGGTTAATTTTGATATATAAAGATATAAACATTACTTATTAGGGTGTGGTGCCTGCCCTTGTATATTATTCAGGCTACCTGTAATTATGTAGTCATAAGGCTTCTTCTGACATTTTAAAAACCTTCCAAATGACAACAAATGTATTATGATAGATTTTAACATCTATTTCAGACACTAAATCCATAACGGAGGGTATCACATCCATAAGTAGTTTTTCCTCTAAAGTAAAAAAGGAAATGACAGTCTTTTCAAAATTATGTTTTTTGTGTTCAGCCAAGTGTTTCCTTCGAAATGGCAATCCATGTTTTGACTTAAGACTTATGCTTGTCCATTTCATGTAACATCCATAACGCTTCTTATTTTTTTTATTTCTCCAACGTCAGTATTTACAAGTCTGCTTTTGGGGGTATACACAACCCCCCCCCCCCCACCCCACCCACCCCCCCCGAAGGGGTACTATAGACACACACATCAAAAGTTTCATTTACATTTTGTTTGTCCATTCTGTGAGACATTTAAAGTTGTGATTCTTCTTGCAAATGTAATGTCCATAACGCTGGAATCGGCCATTGGGCGTGTGTGTGAATGAACTGTCGTTGCTCCGTGTAGATGGGAGTTCTGGCGTTATGGAAGGTGGACGCCCGAGGAAGACTACAGGGAAATCACATAGTGAAGCATGACTACACCAAGCCCTTAACCTACTGTATCTTCAGACCAGCACCCCCGGGAGAGTGAGTTACTAGAACCCTATAAGTACCCCAAAAGGTTCTGAGTCAGAGCAGGCTATTGTTCTGCATAAGCTCTTGACAAAGAGATGCCTCAATTGATATACTGCAGGGGTCCCCAATTACATTAACCTGCGGGCAGATTTTTTCTTGAGTGGATGGACGGGGGACCGGAACATAGTTATAAATAATTTGTACACTGCAAATTGACAACAAGAATCCCAAACAGATATAGTATTTGACAAAAACAGAATAATTTCAAACCTTGATTACATTGGGATACAATCACATATGCCTCTATATTTATGCGTGGGAATAGATTTCCTAAATGAAAATCACTTTGAGCTTAGTTCCTGGTGATTTAACAGTCCTTTATGTCCAACAATGAAAATTATATATAAAGTTTTTATTTTATTGCTCAGAAAACTTGGATGGCCAAATAAAATCAGCATTTGGCCCGCTGGCCGCCTATTGGGGATCCCTGATATACTGTATGTGTATAAATATTTTAGAGTCCAGGTTTTATGCAACTATTCAATGTTATTTTTAGCTAGGACAACAAATTGTATCCATATTATCACTGTTGTGAAGTTATCTTTGGTTGTAAATCAATGGCACTAACACTGTCTCGCCCTGCTATTAAGCATATAAATGCCAAGTGTAAGTTAAGCCAGGCACTGTCTCCAAAATTGTTGGTCGGGACCCAAACCCATTGGTGCGTTGCAGTTGTTTCTCTTGGGTCTTGCTCAAGACTGGGTCCTGGCTAGAAAAATGGTTTGGTCATTCACTGGGTCAGAAAGAGTAACATTTGAAAGACCTTAGCTGTGCTATTTTGCCAACTCCTATGGCCATTGTCAAATCGCATCAAATTTTATTTGCCACATGCGCCGAATACAACAGGTGTAGACCTTACAGTGAAATGCATACTTACAAGCCCTTAACCAACAATGCAGTTTTAAGAAAAAAAGTGTTAAGAAAAAAATAGATAAGTAAAAAATAATTAAAGAGCAGCAGTAAAATAAAATAACAGTAGGGAGGCTATATAGAGGGGGTACCGGTACAGAGTCAATGTGCGGGGGCACCGGTTAGTCATTGTTTGGCGTAACAATGACCATAGGAGTTGGCAAGACCGCACAAACAGATCTGGGATTCAGGCTAGGGTCAGTGGCACAATGCATAGTTTGGAAACCATTCTACTAAGCTCCTGTCCCAGTGTATAATGCTAACTGTGGTTGGTTCCAAGGGATGTGGCGATGCTGGCGCGGGCGGCAGTGGGCGGGGACGAGAGTGCCCTGGACATGTTCAACTGGAGGAAGGCTGGGAATGGAGCGCCGCTCAAGATGGGCCCTCAGGAGGGACTGGTGTTCTACGTCAGCACGGCAGACGGTTAGACGCTCTCAAACTCTGTGTTTTTACCTGCGTTGTTCCCCTACGTGTGTGTGTGTGTGTGTTTGAATGTGTGTGTGTGTGTGTGTGTGTGTGTGTGAGACCTCTCGCCTCTGGGCCTGTAGAGAAATTCCTCCAAACCAGGCCCTCAACGGTTAGAGTGTGTTTAGCTTTGGTGCACGGCCCGGTGTAATTAAGTGAAATCTGAAGCAGTACTGTCACTGTGCGAGCATAGGTGTGTGTGTTTGAGTGTGTGTATTGACTCTGTGTCCAGGCAAGGTGCACTGTGTGGATGAGCATGGCAGGAGTAGCCCAGTGCTCAGTGTGGACGGCTCCATCCAGAAACTCTTCTATCTGAAGAGGAGAGAAGTCCTGGCCGTTGTCACGGAAACCCTTATGCTGTCGCAGTACACTCTGGGACCTGAGGGGGGAGCCCATGAGCTCATGAAGGTACAGTGTCACTGTCAGTTGAATTCAAGTTTGTGTACGTGTGTGACTCTGTGTTTATATGTTCTGTTGTCACAGGTGAAGCTGAGTGGAAAAAGTGGCCAAAGCGCAGATATCGTTTCAACAGAGACAGGCCTCCTCATCACAGCTACAGGGGAACCGGTCATCAGGTCAGACACACACACAAACACAAACCAACACACACAAGTAAGCATTTCATGGGAAGGTCTACACATGTTGTATTCGGCACATATGACAAATACAATTTGATTAGATTTGACTATCCTTGTGGGGACCAAACAATTGATTCCCATTAAAAATCCTATTTTCCTTAACCGTTACTTTAACTCCTAAACCTAACCCCTAACCTGAATTCTAACCCTAACCCCTAAGCCTAAAATAGCAATTTTCCTTGTAGGTACCAGTGAAATGTCCCCACTTCTGGTCCCCACAAGGACAGTAAAACCAAACACACAAACACACACACACACACTGACTGTGGAGCTGACATACATTGTGTTGTAGGCTCTGGGACTTGGAGAGAGATGACAACTATGTGCTTTCTCTGGATGAGAGCCGGGGCTTTGAGAAAGGAGAGGTGTTGAACTGTGTCTCCTACTGCACAGCCAAAGGTAGGAATGAACAATGGTGTGCTATGGTAGACTTGTGTTAAATGGATTACTATTACACAGTATACATCCACTAACCTAGTCCCAGATCTGTTTGTGTTAGCTTGCCAGCAACTCCTATGGTCATTGTCTCCACTGCACACTGTTTATGACAATGACCACCATAGGAATCGGCAAGATGGAACAAATTGATCTGGGACCAGGCTATGCATTCACCGCTCTAATAGGCATAAAAAAAAATGATATTTAGGCATAGAATTGGTCGTATTTGTATTGTTTCAAGATGTTGCCCTCACTCCCCTGCGTCTTCCCAGAGATCCTAGCTGCAGGCACCAACAGGGGACGTATAGCTCTGTGGAGGATGGTGAGCCAGCCCAACACCAGGACAGACACCAAAGCCCAGTGGAAACTACAGACACCCACGGAGATCGAGGGCAATGTCACCCAGCTCCAGGTACACTACAGTACTACATTATACTGTATTGACACTTGGCGACGACACAGACACAGAGTATTATATCCTCTTCCATCACCTCTCCATCACCTTGTTTTGACAGATCCGATCAAGATTAGTTTACAATGCGCTTTTTTGTTTGTCGACACCTAAACCATTGGATTTCACTGATTGTGGCTACAATACGATCACCGGACTCATAGACAGAGTGCAGTTATATTAGTCAGTGACTATGTTATTACAGTTTTACAATAATGTGTTGTCTGAATGCAATTGTCTTGTGTGTTTCCAGTGGGGCTCCAACCTGAACCTGCTGGCGGCCAACAGTGTGACCACAGTGCTGATCCTCTGTGAGCACGTCATGTCTGCCCACTTCGGCCAGCAGGTGGCAGCGGTGCAGCTGACCCCCTCTCAGCTCAGCCTTACAATGTTCAACACCAACTCCCACCTCACCCTGCGCTCCGACATGCACATCAAGGGCGTCTGCGTCACCAAGGTAACCAGCCCAAAAATGTGCCCGTTACCAAGTTGACCAGGCCAAAAATGTGTCCCGTGAGCTGTCACCAAGGTAACGAGCCAAAAATGTGCCCTGCTCACCAACTGTGTATGTCTAGCTCAGCGTTTCCCAAACTAGGGGTCGCGACCCCATGTGGGCTCGCCTGATTTGAAAATGGGGTCGCGAGAGAAACAAAAAATTATTATATAGAGCTTAGTTCATAGAACCGGGGTTACGTCAGTAACCTCCGGTAGCCGCTAGATGCGGTTGTAATAAACAGAGCCGTTTCTGTTTTCTTTCTACAAATGTGACTATCTTTTATGACCCCCATCACTGAAGAAAAAGACTCTCAGGAATACGTATGCGTCTTCTGTTTCCCTCTACAACGCCCACAAGCTGCGCCGGACTTATTAGAACACAGTGTTCAAGACCAGGCACTAAATCAGACGGGGAGGGAAAGAACCTCAATGAAGATGTTATTTTCTACACAGAAGAGCATACAAAATTATTGCCTGATGATCTTCTGAACTTCCAAATACCTTTCTGATGCATTTCAGTCACTTCAAACCATACTTCCTTCAGATTTGAAGTAATGTGAAAAGTACTGTCAGACTGATTTGTTATAGACTGTCATAGCCCCAATTAAAGAAGTGAACATTGGCTGTTGATTACATCACTTTTTTTTTACATGGTGGGGTCATGAAAAATGGGGTCACGGGCCAAAAAAGTTTGGGAACCCCTGGTTTAGCTTGACTTAGGAGGCTATCAAATAATTAGTTTTCTGCTCAATGTGACAGTTTTACTGTGTCTGTCTCACACAAGCAGATGTGTTATCTAAGGAGTATTTGAGGTGTGTTGAGTGGTCTCTTACATGACTGAGATATTAGGCATCTGATGTTTACGTGATGTGTGTTCAGGACACAGTCACAGTGTGGAACGGGAAGCAGGTCACTGTGTACGAAACCTCAGGGACAACTCTACGCAACACAGGTAAAGGGGCTACACAGCTAAACAGTGACAACAGTACACACCAGCATGGCACTGCATAACACTGTCATAAGCATTGTGTTAAGACCGATGCTTAGTGTTATTAAGCCCTGTGTGAATTCTCCTGTCCCTTCCCCTCCTCTCCTGCTCGTCCCCAGGCTCTTTCCAGTGTGAGTCCCAGGTCTTAGCTGTGCATGATGAGAATATCTACACTGTGGAGCCCAATAGGGTCCAGGTCCGCACACCACAGGTCAGTCCCCTACCTGGAACCCTCTGCCTATCCACACTCACGCACGCGCAGATACATACAGACGCATGCACGCACGGACACACAATCAGTATGCATACCGCCTCATACGGCTTCAAGGCTCCTGTCAAATCTATTTCAGTGTTCTTTTTTTGTCTGTATCCTACAGATGTAGGATCTTAATTTTTTTGGTAGTTTGCTACAGCAGGCAAATAATCCTGCAGCAACAGGAAATGTTAATTATTATGTGGATTATAATTACTGGACATTTTTGTAGGGGTTGATACATTTTTCGTTAGGGCAAATTGGTGAAAATTACTACTTTAGAAGCCTTTTTAAACCTCAAATACACTACAAGTTTGCATTTCCTGTTGTGCAGGAAAATTCTCAGCGACAAAAGGGTGATCAAATGAAGATCCTACTCTGTATATTATAGATAAGCATTGTGTGTCTATTGTAAATAAGCAGTGTGTATCTCTCTGACTCTGTCTCCCAGGGCACAGTGAAGCAGCTACTAGCCTTCTCTGAGGCGGAGGGCAACCCTGTGCTGCTCAGTGTGTGTCAGGGCTATCTGGTGGTGGGAACAGACACAGCTCACATCAAGGTCTTTGACCTCACCCGCAGGTATACACAAAAACATATAAAAACCCTGATACCTCCGATCAATTTACATGACTTGTAATGCCACTTTTTCAAATCAGTATCGTTAGCCAGTAAGTGAATGAGCGAGGCCAATTTTGTTTGGTTTTGCAGGTCTCAATTGTGTTGTGTTGCTTTACATAGCTACAGTGGGGGGAAAAGTATTTAGTCAGCCACCAATTGTGCAAGTTCTCCCACTTAAAAAGATGAGAGAGGCCTGTAATTTTCATCATAGGTACACGTCAACTATGACAGACAAATTAAGATTTTTTTTTCCAGAAAATCACATTGTAGGATTTTTAATGAATTTATTTGCAAATTATGGTGGAAAATAAGTATTTGGTCACCTACAAACAAGCAAGATTTCTGGCTCTCACAGACCTGTAACTTCTTCTTTAAGAGGCTCACTCGTTACCTGTATTAATGGCACCTGTTTGAACTTGTTATCAGTATAAAAGACACCTGTCCACAACCTCAAACAGTCACACTCCAAACTCCACTATGGCCAAGACCAAAGAGCTATCAAAGGACACCAGAAACAAAATTGTAGACCTGCACCAGGCTGGGAAGACTGAATCTGCAATAGGTAAGCAGCTTGGTTTGAAGAAATCAACTGTGGGAGCAATTATTAGGAAATGGAAGACATACAAGACCACTGATAATCTCCCTCGATCTGGGGCACCACGCAAGATCTCACCCCGTGGGGTCAAAATGATCACAAGAACGGTGAGCAAAAATCCCAGAACCACACGGGGGGACCTAGTGAATGACCTGCATAGAGCTGGGACCAAAGTAACAAAGCCTACCATCAGTAACACACTACGCCGCCAGGGACTCAAATCCTGCAGTGCCAGACGTGTCCCCCTGCTTAAGCCAGTACATGTCCAGGCCCGTCTGAAGTTTTCTAGAGTGCATTTGGATGATCCAGAAGAGGATTGGGAGAATGTCATATGGTCAGATGAAAACAAAATATAACTTTTTGGTAAAAACTCAACTCGTCGTGTTTGGAGGACAAAGAATGCTGAGTTGCATCCAAAGAACACCATACCTACTGTGAAGCATGGGGGTGGAAACATCATGCTTTGGGGCTGTTTTTCTGCAAAGGGACCAGGACGACTGATCCGTGTAAAGGAAATAATGAATGGGGCCATGTATCGTGAGATTTTGAGTGAAAACCTCCTTCCATCAGCAAGGGCATTGAAGATGAAACGTGGCTGGGTCTTTCAGCATGACAATGATCCTAAACACACCGCCCGGGCAACGAAGGAGTGGCTTCGTAAGAAGCATTTCAAGGTCCTGGAGTGGCCTAGCCAGTCTCCAGATCTCAACCCCATAGAAAATCTTTGGAGGGAGTTGAAAGTCTGTGTTGCCCAGCGACAGCCCCAAAACATCACTGCTCTAGAGGAGATCTGCATGGAGGAATGGGCCAAAATGCCAGCAACAGTGTGTGAAAACCTTGTGAAGACTTACAGAAAACGTTTGACCTGTGTCATTGCCAACAAAGGGTATATAACAAAGTATTGAGAAACTTTTGTTATTGACCAAATACTTATTTTCCACCATAATTTGCAAATAAATTCATTAAAAATCCTACAATGTGATTTTCTGGATTTTCTTTTCTCATTTTGTCTGTCATAGTTGACATGTACCTATGATGAAAATTACAAGCCTCTCTCATCTTTTTAAGTGGGAGAACTTGCACAATTGGTGACTGACTAAATACTTTTTTTTCCCCACTGTAGCAAAAGACTAACCCCTTTCATTGCATATTGCGTCTGTTACTGTATGTGTGTATAGAGAAGCCAAGGCCCACTGCAGTGCTAAGAACCTAGTGGACCTGACCCCAAATCTGGGAGCCCTGAGATCGGTCAAGTGTAACGCCAACGGCAACCAAGTCAGCATCCTGGTCACTCTGGTGAGTGGACACTCAGAGAGACAGAACCTTGACTTTATTTGGAAGGATCTCATAGATAAACTTTGCTCTTGTTATTTGCAATGAAGTTATTTTAATTACTACACTTCCAACTCTGTTAAATTATATTTCTACCAAGTTGTTCATTGTCTTGTTGCTGATTTTATTTATCTCTCTAAGGTGAATGGGAGACCTGACCACAGAATGTACTTCTATGACGTAGAGATGGACACACTCTCTCACTTTGACTTCTTCACTGGCAGACCGCCTAGTGGCATCTCACAGGCCGACGACACAGAAAGGTGTGTGTGTGTGTGCATTCTTTTGACTGTGTGTGTTCCTTTGACTGTGTTTGTGTTTTCTGACTGTGTGTGGGTGTGTGTTCCAGACGGCCAATGACAGAGCTGAGCGAGAGATGTCCTGTGTCTCATTTCTGGGACGAGAACGAGCCTCGTCTGTTTGTGTGTGAGACGGTACTGGTCAACTCTGACTCTCCCCAAATGGACCATCTGGACAGGGTAAGGGGTTGCGTCATTGTGCTACTTCTCACCAAACAAAAATGTTACGTACTGTAATGTACAATCACATTGACAAGATTTGACAACAAATAATTTATTATAGGCCTGTTTTCAGAATGTATTGCGATAAAGATAGTGCTCTATTTTGTTAATATCAATTTCAATAACTATTTTGTTTATCGGTAATATCATACATGTCACATGTATACAATACCAGTGTTTCCCCTATATTCATTATTTTTCCTTTGTCATTTTTCTTCTCAATGTTTTTTATTTTTATATATATTTCTGCGGAGACCAACTTTTAAAGGGATAGTGCGAGATTTTGGCAATTAAGACCTTTTTCTACTTACCCAGTCAGATGAACCCATGGATACCATTTTTATGTGTCTGCGTGCAGTTTGAAGAAAGTTGCTAACTAGAGTTAGCTCAATTGCTAACTAGCATTAGTTAGCAAGGGCTCGCAAAACTACCTTCAACTTCCTTCAAACTGCACGCATAGACATAAACATGGTATTCATGAGTTCATCTGACTCTGGGTAGAAAAAGGGCTTAATTGCCAAAATCTCGTCGCACTATCCCTTTAAGATCAGAGTGACAAGTTACAGCGTATATTCTAGCAAACAGAGCGAGCAGTGGCGCGAATGAGAGCCACGAGCTCTCAGCCACCGCTTGCTCCTCATCATCTCCCTACAGTGCAGTGGCACGCATCAGTTAAATTTAACATGGTGTCAACATAATTACATATTCATGCATTTTAGAATAGAATGTCCTTTTTAAAAAGTCACCAGGAGTGACCTTCTCACAATCATTCTACAAAACCCCCCTGAGACCCCCACCCCCTCCCTTTCCCACTGCTGCTGAAAAGAATCCTAGGGGAAACACTGAATACATATTAAGTGTGGATGTGTTCTGAGTCCGCTGTGCTATGACCTATGTAACCTATAGCATGTATTTGCTGTCTCCTGCAGGTGGATGTGCTCGTGGTGACGTTTTTCTGCACTCAGGAACACGGGCTCCTCCTGCAGGACTCTTACCCCAAACCAGCCGGCCTGCAGGCGCTACTGGCCCTGGACGTTCCCTACTACTACTTCACCTGTAAGGTAGGGACCAATGACCAATGTACAGGACATTACCTGCAGGGTAGTGAATGGTATCCCTTTACTTAAGGTGAGGCCATTCGTTACTGTATGTCTACTCTTTTGTTTACTCATTTTCTAATTTACAAGGGATGTACTGTTCAAATTATTCATTATGTCATCATGATTTTCAGTAGGACTACAGATGTAGGATCTTAATTTGAGCCAGTTTGCTACAGCAGGAAATAAATCCTGTAGCAACAGGAAATGTGAATTATTATGTGGATTATAATTCATGGACATTTTTTGTAGGGGTTGATACATTTTACTTTACGGCAAATCAAGTCTGAAATTCTAAATGGAAATTGCAAACTTTAGAAGCCTTTTTAAACCTGCTGTGCAGGCAAATTCTCATCAACAAAAGAGTGATCAAATTAAGATCCTACATCTGTAAATTACTTGTAAGGTAGGGTTGCTCTCTTGCTTCTTTTCCACATCCTGTCCCTCAGAGGTTATTTTCACAAAACTCTGTTGGTCTTTCTCTTCATTTTACCTAATCTTTGCTTGATCTCTTCCTCCCTCTCTTTCTTGAGTGTATGTGAATTTGTCATATTTCATGTGCATGTCTGTCTGTGTTTGTGCTTGGCTTCCATTCACACCAGCTGTTGTTTCGGAGGGGTGGTATCTCTTTACCAGAAGTAAGTATCTACTGCTTCTTCAGTTAGTCAGTGCTTCAAATCTCCTCGGCTTTTCCATAGTCCTGTCCTCTTTTCCTAGGCTAGTGGCATTGTAAAACCTCCATTGGGTTATAATGATTAACAGAACAATGTAATCTAGACCGTTCAAAGTTAAATATGTTTTTACATAGGAAGAATGCACCACAGTATTCAGATGCATAAGTTAGATGTGTAGGGTCCATGTTTTGTAGCTTGTACCATAGAATGACATATAGAATTTAATAGGATATCTGTTGCTTATATACCCTACTCCACTGGTTGGATAGGGTCAATTTCTTCTTAGATGTCTATTTCCACTGCTTTTGTTGCCTGTCTTGTCTGTGTCTCCCTACTAGCCTTAGGTCTCATATCCGAGGACGTTTCCTTTCATTGAGCCTAATCTTTCTATGATAAAGGACTGGTGCCGCTACAATAGTGTGTGTGTGTGTGTGTGTGTGTGTGCGCGTGTCATTTTCCCTTCCTAATCAAGCAGCCTATGTATAATCGAGTCGGCTGCCAGTATTGAACGTTATCACGCTATAATAGAAAAATGCTTCAAGAGACAGATTCTATCTCTGGAGAAAATAAAGTGTTTCCCGAAATAATATCTTACCCCACTCCAACAATTATGTTGAATTTCGACAATGACACATGGTGTAGTTATACATTAGTATTGTTTGTGTGGGGAATTTTCATATTCAGGTGTGAAGTGTTTGAAACAGAGATGAGATTGGACAAATCAATGCATTAGAGAACTAGAGCCCATGGAAGCATAACACATTTCTGAAGTCACATTGTATTGAAATAGCTAATACTAATCTCATCAACACCCAGCCTGGTGAGAGGGATCCAGAGGCGGAGGAGGCCCCAGCTCCAGACCCCACCCAATCTCCATCCCTGGCCCAGGCCTCAGCCCCGGCCCCGGCTGCCCAGTCCCCCCACATGGTGTCCAGACGAGCCCTCCGGGACTTTCAGGGCCTGGAGAACTGTGAAAAGGCCACCCGCGATGCCATGCTCAACTTCAGCTTCTACCTGACCATCGGTAACATGGACGAGGCCTTCAAGTCCATCAAGCTCATCAAGAGGTAAGAGAACTTGGATAGGCCTAGTTTTAACACTCGCCGACTGATAACTCATCAAGAAGTTAAAAGCAAACCTCCCGAGTGGCGCAGCGGTCTAAGGCACTACAGACCCGGGTTCGATCCCGGGCTGTGTCGCAGCCGGCCGCGACCGGGAGACCCATGAGGCGGCGCACAATTGGCCCAGCGTCGCCCGGGTGAGGGGAGGGTTTGGCTGGCCGGGATGTCCTTGTCCCATCGCACTCTAGTGACGCCTTGTGGCGGGCCGGGCACATGCACGCTGACTTCAGTCGCCAGTTGTACAGTGTTTCCTCCGACACATTGGTGCGGCTTGCTTCCGGGTTAAGCGAGCAATGTGTTAAGAAGCAGTGCGGCTTGGCAGGGTCGTGTTTCGGAGGATGCATGGCTCTCGACCTTCGCCTCTTCCGAGTCTGTACCAATTGGATATCACGAAATTGGGGAGAAAAGGGGTACAAGGTAACAAAAAAAAGTATAATTTAAAAGTAAGATATGTTTACTGTGCGCTGTCTGTGCGGAGAATACAGTATTTAACAGCTGACAGCTTTCTTCAATCATATGCATCACACTGAGTCCAGTAGTGCAGTATGTGTGACGTCTATGTGATTGTATCGGAGTGTGTCTGCACATATGTGTGTGTGTGTGTGTGTACGCCTTAGCTAACGCCCAACGCCTTTGCTTCGCACAATCAGTGGGCAGTGGGGTAGACGTGCAGAATGGCATGCCTGCAGCCGTGCACCATCCATTTGCCACCACTTCCTATCATCATTTCATGGTTCCTGCCCACTCCAGGGCCCCATTAACAGCCAGTAATTGCTAAGCACATCCCAGTTCAAAGGCTTCAGGAAAGGCTATTGGGATGGTATTGTTAGTACGGCCTTGATTCCTCTCAGGCCCTCTTTCTGAGGGTTTGCAATGGGAGACTTCATTGTGACAGGTTCTTTAGACGAACGCAGAGAATGAGCATTGTTGCCATTTACTTTTGATCACCCCTTACATAACCCTTTCAACTGTAGTGGTTAAACATGGATGGAAATGATCGCTCCCTGACCTCAGGGTTAAGATGTTTTATGTGGGCTGGTTGTAGAACTATATCACAATTTTAGAGCAATGGCCTTATCTGTAAAGCAGGGGTTCTTAAACTTTTTCAGCTCGAGAGCCAAATGAAAAATGGACCATCCTCCCGTGACCCAAATTGTCCGACCCACCTCTCACATGCCCAGGGCCCAGTTTAAGAAACCCTGCTGTAAAGGAAAGATTCTTGAGTAATGCTCTTTGCTGTTTGAGTGGAAAAACAGACACAATTATTGCTTTGATATAATCAGCAGAGAAAATCCATTGGAAATGAGAGATGGCTAGTGTACGTGTAGCCTAAGCAGGGGGGTTTGACGGAGACAGGAGTGTGTTTTAAAACAAGGATGCTGTGATATGATCTGATTTCAAGGAACAAACCGTTTTCTGCTTATGGTAGCGTAGTATGAAGGGGATTTTTAATCACAGGACATGATTTAGGATGTTTTGTGTGTGTGTGTGTGTGTGTGTGTGTGTGTACTGTACGTTATGGTGAGGGGATGTGCTTCTCTAAACACACTGTTTCACACAAATCCCTTGTCCTTGTTTGGATCTAAGAGTGCCCTTTCCAGTCATTCAGCCAACCAGAGAAATAGGTCAGAGAGGGGATGTGAGTGTGTGTGACAAAGGGTGTCACCTCAAAGTAGCCTGGATGTCATGTATAGACGAATACGTGACTGGACACTCCAATCCTAAATTCCCCAGAAGTAATGCTTTGAGCACGTACAAACATACGCAAATATGTCTGAAAATACAAACAAAAGGGGAAAATAGCCTATCCTAGCTAGCCGGATATCACACTATGTTTAATAGGTTGATGACAGCTTTAGTAAGTTCCACAGTGACAGTTATTTTTTACTGCCAATTCCTTTTTCAAAGCAGTCATTTTAGTCAGTGTTTTCGATTTCCGCTTATCCCCACCAACAGGATGATGCGCTTCTTGTTCTATGTGTGACCAATAACATTTACATCTCTTCTGTCTATCTGCTGGGGCTTGTTGCCATGGAAACGTCCTTTGAACTGCCAAAACATTATTATACGGAGGGACCCGCATACTGTGCATGTGAACTCCCAGCAGCACTTTACTGATAGGCCTATCTCTAAATATAGATGTACAGTGGGGGAAAAAAGTATTTAGTCAGCCACCAATTGTGCAAGTTCTCCCACTTAAAAAGATGAGAGAGGCCTGTAATTTTCATCATAGGTACACGTCAACTATGACAGACAAATTGAGAAAAAAATATCCAGAAAATCACATTGTAGGATTTTTAATGAATTTATTTGCAAATTATGGTGGAAAATAAGTATTTGGTCACCTACAAACAAGCAAGATTTCTGGCTCTCACAGACCTGTAACTTCTTCTTTAAGAGGCTCCTCTGTCCTCCACTCGTTACCTGTATTAATGGCACCTGTTTGAACTTGTTATCAGTATAAAAGACACCTGTCCACAACCTCAAACAGTCACACTCCAAACTCCACTATGGCCAAGACCAAAGAGCTGTCAAAGGACACCAGAAACAAAATTGTAGACCTGCACCAGGCTGGGAAGACTGAATCTGCAATAGGTAAGCAGCTTGGTTTGAAGAAATCAACTGTGGGAGCAATTATTAGGAAATGGAAGACATACAAGACCACTGATAATCTCCCTCGATCTGGGGCTCCACGCAAGATCTCACCCCGTGGGGTCAAAATGATCACAAGAACGGTGAGCAAAAACCCCAGAACCACACAGGGGGACCTAGTGAATGACCTGCAGAGAGCTGGGACCAAAGTAACAAAGCCTACCATCAGTAACACACTACGCCGCCAGGGACTCAAATCCTGCAGTGCCAGACGTGTCCCCCTGCTTAAGCCAGTACATGTCCAGGCCCGTCTGAAGTTTTCTAGAGTGCATTTGGATTATCCAGAAGAGGATTGGGAGAATGTCATATGGTCAGATGAAACCAAAATAGAACTCAACTCAACTCGTCGTGTTTGGAGGACAAAGAATGCTGAGTTGCATCCAAAGAACACCATACCTACTGTGAAGCATGGGGGTGGAAACATCATGCTTTAGGGCTGTTTTTCTGCAAAGGGACCAGGATGACTGATCCGTGTAAAGGAAAGAATGAATGGGGCCATGTATCGTGAGATTTTGAGTGAAAACCTCCTTCCATCAGCAAGGGCATGGAAGATGAAACGTGGCTGGGTCTTTCAGCATGACTATGATCCCAAACACACCGCCCGGGCAACGAAGGAGTGGCTTTGTAAGAAGCATTTCAAGGTCATGGAGTGGCCTAGCCAGTCTCCAGATCTCAACCCCATAGAAAATCTTTGGAGGGAGTTGAAAGTCTGTGTTGCCCAGCGTCAGCCCCAAAACATCACTGCTCTAGAGGAGATATGCATGGAGGAATGGGCCAAAATACCAGCAACAGTGTTTGAAAACCTTGTGAAGACTTACAGAAAACATTTGACCTGTGTCATTGCCAACAAAGGGTATATAACAAAGTATTGTGAAACTTTTGTTATTGACCAAATACTTATTTTCCACCATAATTTGCAAATAAATTCATTAAAAATCCTACAATGTGATTTTCTGGAAAAATTTTCCTCATTTTGTCTGTCATAGTTGACGTGTACCTATGATGAAAATTACAGGCCTCTCTCATCTTTTTAAGTGGGAGAACTTGCACAATTGGTGGCTGACTAAATACTTTTTTCCCCCACTGTATATGGTTTGATACTACCAACTGTAATCTTAGTCCAAATGCAAAGTGAGCCCTACAGCTCATGAAGCTCTTATAGCTAATGAGATCTGTTGTATAAGTCTTGCTCCAATGCAAATTTAAAGTTGATAAGACTCAACCACAACCTAATATTTATAGTCTAAAACAAAACGAATATCTCTTAACATGCTGCCGCTCTCTTTGAGACATACTGAAGGAGACATACTGAAGCAGTATGTCGGAAACAGTATGTCAGATACAGTGTGGAATGTCTCTGCTCAGTCCAGACCCCCAGTGATATTTCCTGTCATTCATGTTGTCCTTGACTCCAGGTGACACGCTACAGGGCTATCGCTCCATGTGAATACAAGCCTTCACTTAACAAAATGTCCTTTACCATCGGCCATTTATATACAGGGGTAATGCTTAATCTTCATCAATTTCCAAGTCAGACAAAACACTTAAGGAAGTCTCCAGAAGTACAGCTAGACTGATGTATTATGGCAATGGTCAACAGTACAGCGATTATTGTAGTGAAGTCACTTCTGGCGAGTTTTGTACTGTATCTGTGAGAGAAAAGTACAGTAGTCTAACAGTATTTAATAGGTCACACAATATGTCTTAGTATTTTGACAATGCTTATCAGTGCTATCTAAATTTATAGGCTATTTCTTAGTGACACCTCCAAATCATTTTACCCTTCCATATAAGCTTAATTTAGGGGCAACTGTCTCAATATGTAGAAATGTCACTAGATTATAGCAAACACTTTGTTATAGATCAGGAGGAACACTGCATAACATACAGTGGGGAAAAAAAGTATTTAGTCAGCCACCAATTGTGCAAGTTCTCCCACTTAAAAAGATGAGAGAGGCCTGTAATTTTCATCATAGGTACACGTCAACCATGACAGACAAATTGAGAAAAAGAAATCCAGAAAATCCCATTGTAGGATTTTTAATGAATTTATTTGCAAATTATGGTGGAAAATAAGTATTTGGTCACCTACAAAGAAGCAAGATTTCTGGCTCTCACAGACCTGTAACTTCTTCTTTAAGAGGCTCCTCTGTCCTCCACTCGTTACCTGTATTAATGGCACCTGTTTGAACTTGTTATCAGTATAAAAGACACCTGTCCACAACCTCAAACAGTCACACTCCAAACTCCACTATGGCCAAGACCAAAGAGCTGTCAAAGGACACCAGAAACAAAATT